AGAAGATTTGTAGCTCAGGTGGATGATTTTGATAGAGTTTTGTTCTCTGAATTGAAAACAACGAAACTCTATCAAAATTATATAAACGTATTATGAGCCAGTAATTAAATGTAATGCTTTTTTTTGTATGTGTTTATCATTAGTCATTATTAACTGAATTAGTTGTTATGGATTAACAATATGATTTGATTGTATACTTTAAAATCAAATATTTTAGAATAATGGAAATAGCTATTTTCTTTTCCTTCTTTTCTTGGAATTTTTAGTTGATGTTTTCAAAAAATGTAATAAATGTGAATAGTTGCGTTTATAAACAGTTTTTTTCTTCATTTTTCTTTACTAAAATTCTTTCAGTAACTTTGATCTTTTTTTTAATGTGTCGTAATTTAGCATTAATTTTGGTTTTTAACTAAATGTATTCATGTCATAATTCATGCATCTATTGTATATGTATCCCCCTGTATTTAAAAAAAAATATCATAAATAAAGCACCTAACTTACTTCTAAGATGTACCTGAAAGAGTAATAAAATTCACATTGTAGAAGAAAAAAATAAATATACACCCAGCTATAAAATATAAGGAATGACATACTTATCTATACTATGAAATCTTTAATTTGAAACGCAGCACCACACACACACAAAAAAAAGTGTTAAAATAAGTTTTAATTATATGACACAAACAGTTACTTCCATTTACTTTTTACCAAATTTATGAAAACTTAAGTTTTTATTTACGTAAGTGTTAGCATTATGTATAAGTCTATTCTTTCTGTTGCCTTAAAGTTAATATTAACTGTCATTTATTCAATAAGTTAGTTCATTTTAGCGAAAATATAATTTTTTCTCTCCTTAATTTGTCTACTTTTTTCCAGTTCTTTTTTAAATTTCAACACTATAAAGTTATGTTTGCTTTATTCTCTATATTTAGTAGGATATAAACCTCATCGAAAATTAATATAAAGATAATTAAGAAATCTCTAAACTTAATGAACAGTATGTGACATATGCATTATAATTTAATCATAACAATGTTTACAATAAAAGTCTGAATTGAAGTCACTTAACTTGCTTTTATCGTATATTTGTACTTAGTGATATTTGTTGTGTACAACGAGAATTAAATATATGGTAAAACTAAAGTTGTGTCACAATTTTTGTTTTGTTATTCTCCTTTTTTTTTCATTGTCATCATAATTTCTATTTTTAAAGTAAAAAACCAAAATATATGTACATTTGATTAGATTTTCGACTTATCTACTTTATTTTACTGTAACTAATACATATTTTATATGTATGAAACAGTTTGAATTGAAGATTTTGTGATTAGCCGGACTTAGTAACATAGTAGATAATGCGTTAGCGTCTTCATGTGAACATCAACACTGGGATGCAAAAACATCTAGTCGGCGAGTACTAATTAGGAGCAAACATACTTAAATTCTACTGTTAATCAAGCTGAATTCTCTTACGTCAATGTTTTTAAAGACTAGTAAAATGAATGTTACTTTTTCAGATAGACTGATAGAGTTCGATACTCTATTTATTAAAACAGGGTAAGACGTTTATTTATAAACAAAGTGTTTGACTGGATTTTAAATGGAGTTAAACAATAAAGTTTAGCATATGCATTTCGTTTAATTGCAATAATGTCAAAAAACAAACTATTACAATTAATAATCAATGTATTTATCTTTGGAATAAATGATATGATTTGTAGATAATATTATGTCATTGTAGAGAAAGGTATCTAAGCCGTAGCCAGTTCTTAGTATCAGCACAGATATTAGAGACTGTTCACATTTGGTCTTACAAGAGCGATAGAAATGTTATCAGAGGTTCGATCCTTAAACATTCAGTAGGCTCTGACCATTTTACCGATTAACGTGTCAATTTTAAAAGTGTTTATAGGACCTATTCGAATCTTTGCAGATTTCTTCATATTCAGCCGCATACAGTAATAGAAACTCTTGCTATCCACAAGATGAAACCACAATTTACTGTAAGAAAAAAAATCTATTATTTACTGATTCATAGCAAACAGGGTTTTGTTTCTTCACAAAACGATGTTAACATGGAACTGTAGAAGATTTGTAATTTTTTTAAATATATGTTCAATTTTGAAATGTTAGTTTTTGCAATTTTTCTCGTTGATGTCGATACATTTTCTTAAGTAAATTCACCAGTGTTTAATTACAACACTATCATTATTTTATTGTAACAGTACATTTATCCAATGATCCTTATTGCATTGTGTTAACTTCAAAATAATTTCCAAGTGTACTAGTGTTTAAATATCACAAAATCATATTCATTTATTTTCAAATAGTATTTAGTCGAATGAAATCGATTGTATATTATTTTGATTTAAATAAAACTTTCGGCGGTTATCTATTCTATTTTTTAATCAAAAGAATATACCATTTGAATAAACTGAAATATTTATCAATGTTTATGAAAAGCATTTATTATTTTGTCTACAGTCAAGTAATCATTATTAATATTACTTATAATAATGACATTTAAGTTGGTCACTCTATCTAATATTGTATGCCCAATAATCATTTTTTCGTAAGCTATTTTTTATAGTGACCATGGTATTTATCTATTTATCTTATTGTATTTCCACATTAGGATAAGCAATAATGATGGCAATTTTTCTAAATAAACACATTAAAATAGTACTAATTTATAATGCTGTTGAAGCAATTTCAGTTTTCCGATTGATTGGCTCTCAGTGACTAGTCTTAAAATATTCAACTTTCTATATTAGATCGGGCAGTAAATGTAGTTCTGAATTGGATAGTTTAGTTCTGTTTGTGTTAAAGATTAGTTTCTCATTTTGCGAATGCATCAATAAAATAACACTTTTTATATGTAAATTGATGATTTATTGCAAATCAAATGAGTGGTTTAATTAAGTAAAGCTCATCAGTGGATAGTTCAAACATTTTAACATAAACTGAAGATTCATTCACCTTTATTTCTTTTTAAAAATGTTATTTAGTTAGTTTTTAATATTACATATTTTAAAATTATTCTTTGTAAACAAATCAACAATCTTTAAGGCAGTACCTTTAGAATATTTACGCAAAATTCAAAATTTATGACGGATGGCTTGTATTTTGTTAGAAGCTGAGATAAAAGTCGCCTTTATTTAGTTTCCTAGATGTCTTAAATTTCTAAACACATCTGTTGTGCAATTAAACGATTTCTATAAAATGATGGGGAAGCTAAATAATAGGAAACGCATACTACAGATGGAAGTTGCATTTAAAACGCTAGACACACGTTAGAAGTAATTAATAAAATTTAGAGTATTATCAAGTATGTTTTAAAGGTCTCTCAAGATTCTGCATTAATTATGATTCAACTGATATAAAAAATGTATTTAGAAAATAACATCTGTAGAGATAACTGGATAGCGTAAGGTCAATAATCATTGGGTCATCGTTCGCCAGCCTTATTTAGACTGTATAACTGGTATCATTACTAATAATATTTAAATAGTGTTATCCCGATTAACAAATTATCTCTGGTCTTACAAAAACTTGTAAAATGAAATGAACTAAAGTTATTTGGAAAAGATTTAATGTCATATATATGTTGATTTTAGCACCGATGAACATTCTATGAACGTTAGCAATTTAGTCATTGAGAAAGTATGTATACAGTTGAATATTCTGAGGGCAAGACTATGATTAACAGTGAAACTAATCAGATTTAAGATAAAAGATCTTGGAGTTTAGAGAAAAAAATTGGTTCACTCCTTTGGCTAAATACATTTTTTGCATTATAACTGATGTCAATTTTTGATGAAAACATTAAATTTCATTCCTAATCCTAACGTTCCACTTGAAATCTTGATCGTAATTTCTCATACTATTTTATTACTCTCATTTTACCTTAGTATGTAGGTGGACATTTCCAAAGTCATATTAGATTTGCTCAAAGGTTTTCCATTATTTGTAATCTCATCAAAATAATTCATTCCTGAAAGTAAGATACTTGTATAATTATGTCATTCTTTAAATCTGAAATAAATAAGAATAATGAATGTTACTGTAAAATTTATAATTTGTCATTTTATTTGAAATATTTGTATTATTCTGAGTAAATGTCGAACATAATCATTTACATATTAAGATGGTAAAGATTTGTAAGTGAATGGTTATAGTGAAGTTTTATTTTGTAAAATAAATAAATCGAGTATGAAGCTTTCATTGTTTTCCTGAACAATATAATCAAAGCAAACTTTGAATAATTCACTTCTGTCTAAACATTCTTGCATGATTAAATTGTTCAACTGACAGGACAAAATATTCATCAAGGTTAAAATCCATAATTTTCAACTAATATAGAATGAATAATCTTTTAATAATTTTTCTTATTCTATGTTTGATGTGTAAATTTTCCAAGACAAAAAAAGCATTGAAGTAATGTTTTTGAAGAAGAAGAAGGAGACGAAGAAGAAAGCATCATCAGATCGCTCTTAGACTATTTTTTAATGGATTCTGTTAACACTTTCAAGTTGTTTGAACTTATTTAGTTATCTGTAGATAAATGTAACAAAATGTTTGCCTGGATTTCATCCACTCAACATATCTCATATAAACAATAATTCTAATTACAAATTAATAATATTTGAACAGATTGGTTGTTTTACTTTCCAACTTTAAGAAAAATATGAATTATTATACCGCTATCTGTATTTATATTCTGAAAGCAAAACAAAATATATTAAAACAAAGAAATGACAAGTTTATTAATTAATGTTTTCTAATAAAACGTCATATAAATCGTAGTTAATATTATAGTATAATAAATCAAATCATATTATTCATAAAAATATTATGTTTTAGTATGAATACTGATTTATTTGCTAAGTTGATCATAATAATAATAATAAAAAATCTCGTCATCGTTAGTGGTACCAATGAACTAGATGATATGTTTACTTATTTAAACAACTCTCTTTAAATTAAATATGTTGATATATATATATATATATATATATATATAGGAATACTATGCTTAGACTAGCTTATCGACAATGTTACCTAACGACCATTCATGAATTTTGGTCAGTCTGAGAATCAACTCAATGGAATCTCATCAATAACTAATTACATCATATATTTTCATAATAAAGATTTTTACTCAGATATTAATCAAAGCGTTAATTAATAACCGGAGATGATGAAACCGATTTACTGAGTAGTATTTTGATAATTAAAGCATTCGTTATGTCATTATCGAGTTATTATTCCAAGAGTCAATATGTTTGATTCGTTTGTCATTGATCTACAATGTATAAAGTACAGTATTAAATCTGTTGCTTGGCTATATGTCTGTTTACTGATTAACTCTTTTTCTGTAATCAGTAAGAATGATAGGATCAGCATAATTTTATTCCTTTTTCAATAATGTTGATTTATTTCTTATCGTGTTGTATACATATTTATTTAGAAAGTTATTTTAGGGCGGATTTTCATATTAAGAAATTACATATTCACTAACCTTACTGAAATTCGAAATAAAACTCTTTCAAATAAATAAAATAATTATCTAATGTAAAAATGAAATTGGAACTTATTTAAGCTTAGTGATATTATTTTCATTCTTACAGATGGAGATATTGTACCAACTACAATTATTGGAAAAATAGTTGGCGGTATTTGTTCACTTTCTGGTGTACTTGTTATCGCCTTACCAGTCCCTGTGATTGTTTCACATTTTGCCAGGATATATCAACAAAATCAACGAACTGATAAACGAGAAGCTCAAAAAGTAAGCTGATAAACAATGATTTTTAAGGGAAGCAAATTAAATTAATAACCTCCAATCTGTTCCATACACATTACATAATCTAAGTAGATAATATCTTTATGAATTCAAAATATAAATCTGATGAGATGTTTTATTTCATTAACATTCGAAAACTGACTCACAGATTTAAATTTAAATGCGTAAAAATTACCCGAAGAAAATGGATCGTCTGCAGAACATGGTTGTAAATTTACTTTGTAGTATTCATTTAACAGCAGTAAGATATACAAAGCTGATTACTACAACCACAAAAACGTCTCGTCATTTTAATTATGACTATATTATCATAATTCGACTGCAAATAATCTAGTACACATTACTAATCTTTTTTATTACGATCTACACCTCATTAACTTTAGTTACTGTATTGCTTTAGATATTTTGTGACTGATAGTGTTGTCAGAGTGCACGTTCCACTCTATTTAGGACTCATCAGCTGGATATAGAAGAACTCCAGTTTTGTTCATGTTTACATCAAGATTATATCTGTGATATATACTACTTATTTTGACACATATAAGTAGTATGTAGCGTCAATCAGAAGTGGAGTGCATACCAGCAGAAGGTTGAGAAGATTAAAATGAAGAGAAAAGAAAACTAAAAGCATCTAAAATGATAACAGGAATCAAAGAGCGATGAAATGTAAAAACAGACAACTGATTGAAGATGTGCAAATAAGGTTTTTAATTGACAGTTTTTATATTTTAAGAAGATACTCTGTAATTTTGCAACAAACAATAAATTAGTTATCCATACCAAGTTATCTTTCACTACATATCAAGTACTTTTTACTTCAGATACCATCACGTTGTCCACCAAGCTAATGAGTTGAATAGTTACAATAGTATTCACTTGGTATGATGTCTACATTATCATTAATAAACAATTAAATTGTTTTGTTGTTGGTATTTAAATTTGATTATTAATCATCATTTGGTTGTCGTGAAGCCATTTACATACGATGTATAAACCTCAACAAAAACTGATTAAAATTCATTGCTGAATATCAACTATGGAATAATTCAAATGTTTGTTAATGATGATTAGAATTAATTTCCAAGGTGACTTTCTTTTCTCTAACTCACAATCTTTATTTCTTATTAAATAATTTACATCCCCCAAAAACTGATAAATAATAGGATTGGTTGAAGTTAGACATTACACCGTTGGGTGCCGGCTCAGTGGTCTAATGGTTAAGTGCTCGCGCGCGAAGCCAGTAGGTCCTGGGTTCGAGCCCCGGTGGTGCGGGGTCGTGGTTGCGCACTGCTGAGGAGTCCCATACTAGGACGAAACGGCCGTCCAGTGCTTCCAGTTTTCAATGGTGGTCTAGCTTCAACTGACTCATGAGTTCAATCTGTGATAAATAATAATTAGGGATAATATTTAAAAAAAGTAACAGTATTATTAAAGTATTTTATAAGTTTCTTAATAAAATATTCTTATAAAAATAAAAGTCAGTTGAGTTAATTAACTACGAATGAAAATTTGTCGAATGCATACGTATATAGATATATTGAGAGGAATGTATAATTTTACACAATCTGTTCTCTTTTTTCTTATGATAATTATTCTTTATCAAGCAAATACAGTACAGTATAAGGAAAGTTAAATATCAATAATTGACACTGATTATTTGATTCACAGATGATTTATACATCATATTAAACAATGAAAGATCATATTGTTCATATCTTGATGATATAAAACTTAGTTGTGTTTTGTTTCTTGTATAAAACATTATTATATAATCTGTAAAATCTAGTCTTTCCATCGATTTGGAAGCATATTACTCATGTGTTTGCTTATATGCTAAAATAGATTGTGTTGGAGATATGACTTATGTTTAACGATTGGAATGTTCGATTTTGAAAGAATCATTCGGTGATTCCTAGTTTTTTAATGGTTGTTCAACTATAGTCAGTTATACGATGTACACTATGAGGATTAATAAGTTAAATAAATGCATCTATAAGAAGATAAACGTAAAAATATCATGTTTCTTGTCTTTACTATGATGAATTTTTCAAGATACAGACTAAATTCAAACAAAAATGATTTACTTTTTAAAGTAAACTATCTGTTATGTTATCAATGATATTCTCATCTGTCTATCTTTGATAAATTATAAATTTGTTGTATGATATAAGTTTCTTATGATTTGAGTTGAGAATTATTCGGTATAGAATTTTATTATTGATCAAAACAGTTTTTAAGTAAATATTCATCGTCTTTAATTTGTCCATTTAGATCATTTAAAAGTTTCATTATCATCTATATTAATTAATGTATATAATATTAGATTAATTGATTGATAGTTTCCAATATCCATTATCTTGTTATGTCAATATAATGACAATTAAATATAGACAATTTATTGTAACGAATAAAATTAAAGTGTTTCCTCTTTTGTAGCATAACTATACTTTATTATTTTATCATTTTAATAGTTTAAATGAACTTCAATATCAATTTGTCTTTAAAAAAACATTTTAATTACTACTAAATTGGATTGTATGTTTAGGAAATTCATACAAAATCGTGGATGCTCACTGCTGAGCAGTCCCACAATAGGACGAAACGGCCGTCTAGTGCTTCGAGGTTTTCAATAGTGGTCTAACATCAATCGGTTAATGATCTCAATCAATAACTTATTAATCTCCACAACAACCCTATACTGGAATCGAATACTTTACACGGAGACGGATATCCGTGGGATAAGGCGAGGTGTGCATTTTTAGGGTCGACCTTTTCTAACCCCACCCCTCCTTGTGGGAAGGCAGCATCGCTGTCATGCTGGTTGTCTGAAGGAAACACCTTACTGCTGTCACACCTCTGTACAGTCAGCAGTACGACTTCGCCTTCGGACCTTGGGTTTGTTGCTTTTAGTCTTACCGCTCTTCAACCGACCTGTCTGACATGGTAGGACCTTGAGGAACGGTTGTTCCAGCCAGTATAGCTCGGTTGCTTCATCACGATAGGCAAGCCCGACCACCACGTCAAGGTAGCAACAACTCTCATCTGCTCCCAGTCCAGACGTTTAGAACGATGGGCGGAACATTTTAGAGAACAGTTCAGCTGGCCTTCAGCTACTCTACAACTACCCTCCATTCCCAGACAAAGTGAATGGAACATTGAAGTAGGTCCCCCAACTCTTGCTGAAGTTGAGAAGGCTATAGTTAATCTGAAACGAGGAAGGGCAGCTGGTCCAGATGGACTGGCTCCAGAAGTCTTTAAGGATGGTGGTCCAATTTTAGCGACTAGGTTGACTAATATTTTAGCTAAAATCTGGGAGTTAGACGTTATCCCATCTGACTGGTCGCAATCACTTATCGTCCCAATATATAAGAAAGGGTCAAAATCATCCTGTGACAACCACAGAGGGATTAGTTTAACAAACATAGTATCTAAAATACTGGCCTCGATAATTATCAAACGCCTAACTAAGACTCGTGAACTACAAACACGAGAGAACCAAGCTGGCTTTAGACCTGGTCGTGGCTGCATCGACCACATATTCACCATTCGTCAGGTTCTAGAACACAGGCATACCTATCGGCGTCCGACGATGGTGGTCTTTCTTGACTTAAAGCAGGGTACTAGGGAATGATGGTAAATCAGTTGATGAGGTTATGAATCTTCATCGACTGAGATGGTTGGGCCACGTATTACGTATGCCTGAACACCGATTACCGCGACGTGCAATGCTAACCGGTGTAGGGGATGGTTGGAAGAAAGTTAGGGGCGGCCAAACCAAAACGTGGCATCAGTGCCTGAAGTCACTAACTTGTAGTCTGAGCCATGTTGGTAGATGCAGACTACTTGGTTGGGGTCCGCGTGACTTTCGTAACCAATGGTTGGAGACCCTTGGTGACATGGCTCAGAATCGATCACAATGGCGTCGGTGTATACACTCTCTGTCTTCTCTTAAACTAAGAGATTAAGATCACTTCACATCTTTCTTTCTACGAACTAATTCTTTCTTCCTATACTATATCCTTATTGCAATCTTTCTCCTATATATTACCACCTTTGACCTAACCACTCCTATGAACCTGGGCCGATGCATACATGTGCCTGGTCCTACGTTGTAGCTGACTGACTGACTGACTGACTGATTTCTGTGTAGATTGTTACCCGACCAAAAGCATATTTAATAGTTGATAACATCACGAAAGACAAACGAATTTTACATTACCAATCTTTTTCGTTAAATTCCGCAGTTTTCTTCCATGTAAATTGAAAAAATAATGACATGAAAATTATTGCATATGGATTTAGGTTATTCGTTTTTGAGAGGCCTTACAATGATACAAACAGTTTTTCAGGAGTCTCTTAATTGTTTATGAATTTGGAATTAGAAACTTTTGTCTGTGGTTTATGCTCAGGTTTATCACCAAGGTTTTAGAGTTAGGGTTTAGGAAAGATTATAGGACATATGGCTAGTATTAAGTAATACAGTGGATTTGTGTATTATGTAAATATAAGCAGGAAGAATTGAGCATCTCTTGCACTCAACACTGTCATTTATACTCTGTAGTGTAAAAAATAATTTTTGTTTATCATCCCATACATTTGGAACATCTTAAGAAAGTATTTCTATTACTCCTTTTATGTGATATAATTAAAAATGCATTCATTTTCGAAATTTGTACAAAAGCTAAAGTTAGTTTCTTGGCCGCACATGTCTAGTTCGTACCATATGTTTTCGATCAGTCATCTACTGAAATTCAATTTACCTCTTACATTTCAACGTGACATATAGGATCTAAGTAATCAAACTGTTACATAATAAGGCTTGATAAACTGTTCGTTACATAATTTGACCACTGATATATTCGAATATATATATATATATATATATATATATATATATATATATATATATATATATATATATATATATATATATATATATGCTTCTGTTCAAAGCATTGTCTATAGTGTTACACGTCCACTGAAAGATAATAACAATCATCTGTTTACATCCAGGCCGAAACAAAAATTATTTAATCAATATTTATCACTCATATTTATCACTCACTCAAGTTGTGATTTACATTCTTTCCTACTGTAGCATACTTAAGTAGCGAAATAAAAGATTGTACTTAAAAATACGAGAAAAAAATCAACACTTTTTGTACAGTTTTGTGAAAAAAAACTCAATGAGAGTTGAATCCACTTCAGTATAAACAGTAATCACCACTGGACTATAAGCATATACTTTAATGAAGTAACACTTATATCCATTACAGTCATGGAGATTATTTGTATAGGTTTCCTATATTGGTGTGATGTAATTTGCTGTGATTATTTAATTTAGCTCATTTTATAAAAATTCAATTAGGTTATCTTTTGATGTATAAATAAAGAAAAAAATTTAACAATATAGGTTGAGGTTAGAGTTTAATAATTTGTTGTGTGAGAGGGATTCAATTTATCAAATTTCATTTGATGACATTACTTACTTACTTATGCCTGTTACCCCTCGTGGAAGAGCATAGGTCAATCACCAGAATTCTTCACTTAACTCTATCCTGGACAATCCTTTCCAGTTGTTTCCAGTTACTATTGATCTTTTTATGTCTGTTTCCAATTTCCGATGTAGTGTGTTTTTTAGTCATCCTTTTTTTCCGTTTCACTTCAGGATTCTAAGTTAGGGTTTGTCTTGTGAGGCTGATGATGATGTATGTCCTATCCACTTCCAACGTATTTTTCTAATTTCCTCTTCAGCAGTAAGTTGGCATGTTCTCTCCCACAATACGCTGTTGCTGATAGTATAGAGTCAGCGGTCGTTGAGTATCTTGCGAAAACAACTGTTTATAAGTACGCGTACCTTTTTGATGATGGCATTCGATTATACAATCACCATGAATCTTCCTGGATACTTGCTACTTTATGCCCTTTTTTATTTATCGTTATTTTTAAATTATATATATATATATATATATATATATCATTCGATTGATTTTGTTGACTAATCTATATTTCAAACATTTATTTATTTATTTATGTTACATATAATTTGTCTTTATAAAGCACAGTTAAACTACGTCAACTAATATAATTATCAGAATGAATGTTTGTGGAGATTGTAGTAATTTTAATGGTTGGTGGTCTCGCTTAAATTTACCCATGAATACAACTAATAAAACTACTAGAATCTTTACATACCTCCCATTCTGTTAATTATAATTATGTGCTCACTAGTGACTGGCTTCGAAGTGGATTTCCTGGAGTTCAAGTGAGAAGCCATAACTACTGGATTCCAATCCGTGCCAGGTAGAGACAGGTATCTAGTTCAGACAACAGATGAAGGAATGCGCAATATCATGGATCGATTGGAGTTAGACATTAACAGCGTTGGATGCAGGCCCAGCAGTCTAGAGGTTAAAAGTTCGCGCACGGTACAGAGGGTTATGAGCTCGAGCCCCACGTGCGGGATCGTGGATGCACACTGCCAAGTAGTCTCATATTGGTACGAAACGGCCGTCTAGTGCCTCTAGGTTTCTAATGATGGTCTAGTTTAGATCGACTTATGAATTCAACTATAAAAGGTTTTGATTGCCAAATAAATTTCTCATACTCAGATATGATTGATTGACTTTTGACGTAACTTCAACAGTAATCTATACTTCATAAGTAATAACACTAGCTAGTTGTTTTACCCTATGCACCTTATCTACAATTAGATATTGAACTGGTCACACATTGTGACACAACTGAATATTATCGATTTTATTTAACAGTCAATAAATCAACATTATATAATAGCATTATATCATAATATGAAAAGCCACTCATTACGAAGTAACAGTTTCAGTCTACCGATGACCATTAATAAAACATTAATCATATACTATGAAGGTAGTGGTAATAAGTTTTCAATATTATGCTGATCAAAACACTATATGAATCAATCAATATTATTATACGTTTGAATATGTATTCTGAAAAACAAAAATAGTATTTCTGTGTAACCTAAAAAAAACAGTCTTATCTGATGGATTTGAAAGGTCATATGTCACACTTTCTAGATTTAGTTTGAAGTATATTTTAATGATAGCATAGGTGTATGAAAGAAAAACAAATAGATTTTATTAGTCAACTGTCAATTCTGACATCTTTGGCTAATCTTGTCAATGTAACAAATGTGACTAATGATTTACTGTTTGCTGCCACTAATAACTAGCAATTGTTTCGTGTTATGTACACTGTCAGTATCATTTTCATTTGTCTTGTATGAATATGAATGTGTAGATGTATCTTGAATGCATCAGAATCATATATATATATATATATATATATATATATATATATATATATATATATATATATATATATATATATATATACTTTTCTAACCGACTTTGTCGTTACGGTGATCAGTTTCTACTATTTGGAGAATAGGCACCATTAAAAAAGATCTACTTTATTCAGAAATATTTCATTTAAAATTCTTATAGTTTATTTAATTCTGTGATTTATCATTTTCGTATTTCTAATATTATAACGTTTCCTTTTTTTAAATAATAATTTAAAAAAACACAATTCTAGAAGGCGAGATTATCTCGTTTAACAGAAATGAAAGCCGTTGCAGAGAATGCATTCTCTGAAGGTAGAAAACGATATAAAAATAGGAAATTATTGGAGCATCATAAATCAAATGTAAATGTGATAATAAATAAAGACAATACACAAGAAGTAAACGATATTGTACAAAATGATGAAATGAATAATATTCAACTTCTTGAGTTGAAAAAGTACAAAGCTGATGAAGTACAACAAGAAAAAGATGTAGAAATGTTCCATAGGCATGAAGAAGAACATATACAGAAAATGGACCATGCAGGAGGAGAACGAAATGTTTCAACTGAAGAGGATAATGAAGATGTTCATGATTTATTTGAACAACAGTACTATCATCTAATTGATTGTTTGCAACAAACAACTGTAAGTTTTTACTTTTATTTTTTAAGGTTCATACACATATTTGTAAGTTTTTATTGTCCAAACATACCTATATTTTTGTGTTATTGATTTATGGCGAAATCCAGGAAGCTCATTTTGATCCATCTATGTCTTAGTTGCATGTACCTACACTCTCATTTTGTTGGTTTACATATTGGGACTTCAACTAAGTTCTTTTTGTTTCAAATACCTAAAGCGTTATCCACTGAGCTACTGAGTTCACATAGCTGCTAACTAATTCAATAGATGTGAATATGTTTTCAAACTTTTCTAATTTTCTATTGATCAGTATTTTCATCACCAGAATAATACACAAAATTGCTTTCAATAAGTCTTATAAAACTACTTCCTTAAGATTAAAAAATTTCATCACTTACGAAAAAGCCGTTACTGATTTATTCACCATGCATTTCTAATTCAAATGTATGTAACCAGAACGATTTATATAATTCATTTAACTTAACGAACCATTGAAAGCATGACATTGCTGTCTTTTTTAATGCATAGTCTCAAATATTTCCAAAAAACCCTGGTTATTATCTCCCCTCGTCTTGAGTAAGCAATATTGAGTTTAACCATTTGGTTAAAATGACTTGAAACCAACTATAATATGCACATATGGTTCATATTTCACAACTGATCTTGATGAAATATAATCCGCTGTTTTGATCCCACAAGTATGACATAACCGTTAACTAATTACTGGTAGATTTTTTAAAAGGAAGACTGCGTTAAATTTATGTAATAATTTCCGAACACTGAAATAGAATAGAATAAATATCTCATATCAGTACATTAATAAATGTCATTATTAACGTTTCTATATCATTATACAGGATCATTAATTATAACCATTGAGCGAAGGAGAGAAAAGAAGCTAAAGCTAACTCTCAGAAGCAAAAAAAGTAGATTGTGAATATGTAAATTATTTTGTGCAGTTTTCGTCTATTCACAGCTTATTATCTGAGGTCTTAAACTCAGGGAAAATTTGTAGTGGTTGTATAGTATTATACAGAAAATGTGTTGATTACCTCAAAACTTTGATAATTCACTATCAAATTAAACTATGGTAACTCATTCGCAATCGAAACAAAGGAATAAAATGTGAGACGCATTAAAACGTAGTTTATAGTATCTGTCTAAATGATTGATTTAAACAAAGATTTAACTGAACGAGAATTGGGTTATCCTCAGCTTTCGTAACGTTCAACAATCGTGTTAGACCAAACAATTCCAGTTATTTTTCTATCCAGTTAATTAGTGACTGCTGAATATTAAACTAAGATTTCCTCACTGAATGCTTCATTTTAAACGTCTGAAACTATTCAAAACTATCTGCATAGATCAGCTAAACATTACTAATGAAAATCATGAATAAATGGAAATTTGAAGCATAAAACAAAGTCTTTACTAAAACGTACACCCTCATATAGATTATCCACTTAACAAATGAACAGTAAGACCGTCAAAATTGACGGTGTTAGTGAATTTAATAAATGTTGAAAATGCAACAGATAAATTCAGTCACCAAATATGAGGTGTATTTCATTGTCTATCTAAAATGCATTAATGAACAAATAAAAAATAGCTACTGAACAAACCGAACTACTTAAATCCATGCATCTATGAATTGATTTTATTTTACTTTATCCTAGGGTCTAGAAGTTGCTGAATTTAATAAACTGACATCAAGTGGAAATAACAATCGAGTAACAAATATTAAACTGAACACCAGTGGAAAAAATGTACAAAGGCTTAAATCTTTTAACAGTACAAGTAGTTCGGGTGAATTACAAAGTCAACCAATAAACATGGTACCAGTGAGGTAAGTTTCCTAGCGATTATATTATCCTTTACAATGTTACGTTTAGAACGGAAGATACTTTCAACAATTAAATCTTCTCTTTCCCCAGACTTAGGAAATCAGTGATTTGCTAGCTACATAAACATTATAAACTTGGACAAATTAAACGGTATTGCTTATAGTTCGAAAATTTTAGGTTGACTTTTATTGATCTGTAAATTAGCTTTATTTAATAATAGAAATAACAATTGGGTTTGTTCGTTTGGTTTGTTAAATTATTCTGTAACAGTTCATAGAATTTACGAGTAAATTACAGACTGACGCAGATTTATAGACAGCGAAATAAAATTTTAAAGTAATTCAAAACGGAGAGCATTAAGGATTTATATATTTATTTACGGTTGATTAATCATAACGCATATGTTTTAGTTATTACGATGCATAATATATAAAACAGTAATTAACTGACTAGACAGTGTTTGGTTGTCATGTATAGTGGACGAGATACCGTTGACCTAGATTTCGTGCCATTTGGGACTCATCGTCAAGGTGTAACTGTAATCTTGAAGTAACTGATGCTCCCTGTGGGATTTAAACCCTGATCACGTGGTTTCTCATTGTAAGAAGTTAGAAATACAGTACACGAGCTGAAAGTAAAATTTATTTACTGCATGCCAGGTTATTTCATTAGTCAGTTTTGTGTTCGAATCTGTTTTTATTAAACCATTATAACTAGGAGTCCCATATTGATGACTGAACTAACATAAATCTTTCTTGCTGATAATACTGTAGGTAATAGTAATGCACAAAAATTTCTCCAATCATCATAATAAATGTATATTTGAATGAGTGTTTCTTACTGTAGGCACATTATTCACAGTAAATTTATAACTAAACTCAGTTATACCTTATTGAATGATGATTTAACGTAAAATGACATAGTACGGCCGGAAGTGGGGAGAGTCCGCTCTCCCTCTCCAAATTTTCTCATATGGCCACGCGTATATAGCCTCTGCCAGGGAAGTCCTACTCGCTGCCTTCTCGTGGCGGAGGTGTTGTTTACAAAATTGAGAGAACAACAAGCGAATGTCCGGCGCATTAACCGGGTTGGTGGACATGGAGAATCCACCTACGGAAGTTGGGAAATCTCGATCCAAACCAGTGGTGCACATGAGCTTTAGGACTCTGAGGGAACAAATGGCGTATGAGTCAATTATTGGTCACCGGCCACCATGGGACTACATCTCCTTACGCTGCTCGACTGCCTTGTGGATCAGACCTTTGAGTCAAAGGATCGGAGTGTAGCCCCCTAACAAAAACACCTGCTTTGCTTTGGGCACCCGGTCAGAATCACATCAATCACACAAATCAAGTGAGATTTATGTGGCACATATGTATTTGATGTCTCCTTGTACCTATATCTATGTGTTCAAATAACAATAATAATAATAATAACTAAACCTGACTTATTATTATTAGTTAAATGAATTACGAAAAATACTAGTTATTTACAAGTTATGTAATCATTTTAATAAAACATTTGGTTTACATTGCAACTAAGATTAGATTATATAACGTTAGTTATTTATTGAGATAGTAATTATAAGAGCATATAATAAGTCCTCGATGTTCCATGTACCAGCTATAACAAAATTTATTTTGAATAATTTAGTCACCATAGAAAAAATAATCTATTCTTTATTTATCTTTCGTGATTATTAAAATAATAAGACTTAACCTAATTATATTGTTTTTTTTTCTTATGTATTGATTATTTAATGTTACTATTTAAGCAATATTTGATTGACCGACATGTTCTGTAATGTTTCCTTTAAATCAAAATTAATTATTTTTTATTATAATGGATTGAAAGGTGTAACAATAGAAAATGACATTTTATATCAAACGAACATTCTATAAATAAGTCAGAACATTATTATGTTCATTCTATTGTTTAATGTTAATGAAATTTAACAACCGAGTAGAATTTATGTGGAAAAAAGAACGTTGTTTTATCGTGCTTTGTCTTTATAAAATAAATGTTCTGATTTCTGAAGCAAAAACATAAGAGGATAAAACTCGTGAAATATTTTGTTTCAATAGTTGAGATTATGAGTCATTTGAAGATAAATCACCATGGAAAACCTGGAAGCACTGGATGGCCGTTTTGTCTTAGTATGGAACTCGTCGACAGTGTTCATTTATGATCGTGCCTCGCGAGATTCGAACCCAAGACCTATCAGTCTCGTGCGTGAACGCTTAACCTCCAGACCACTAAGGCGGCATCCAACGGTGTTAATGTCTATCTTCAACTAATCCACAAAATTGGGTGACATGTTCGCCATTGTCTTTATTGAGTTATTGTCTCACAACACACCCGGTTTAACCCCACTGTTCACTGCTTTTCATTAGAACTACGGAAATACCTCATGAAGCCAGTCACTAATGAGCATATATTTTTGTTGTGAAATTTCTTGAAAAGTATGTAATTCTATTTAAAGAGTAAAATATTCTTTATAACCTAGTGAATATGAAAAGTAAAGAAGTGTTGGCGAGACTGTAATTTATGAACGAACTAATCAGGTATAAGAAAACAGGTCTCAAATTTTTGGGCGAAATTCACTCATCCATTTGACGAAATAGAGTTTGGGCACTATAGCCGAAGTTAGTTCATGATGAAAACCCAAAATCGTGTTCCTAAACGTAATCATCAACTGTAAATCATGATTCTAATTCCTCACGCTGTTTTATAACCCTCATTTTGTCATAGTTATTAGGTCAACACTCTCAAGGTCAATTAAGCGTCGCTCAAGGGTCGTCCATAAATTATAGTCTCACCAAAGCGTTAAATAATTCGAGATATTTAACTCGGGACGCTAATCCTAGTTTGCGTTTGTATAGTGTTATTAGTATGGCTAATTTGATGTTTTAAGAAAACTGACTCTCATTATAGAAACTTTAAGTAAATCATTCAGTATTATTGTTAAAGAACTACTACATAACTGCCTGAATTACAATTTACATGCTATAGGACAATCAAAATCTAAAGTCATAGAGTTAGTCGTTATTTCCTCCATACAACCATCTAATAAAGTATTAAACTACTAAGCTTACACTACAGATTCATTGGTATAGTTTGATTCGCACAAAAGACTAAATCTTATGACTTAGCTCTAGTAGATACTGAAAATTCGAATTCATTTTGTTAATATATTAAATGAATGTTCATAGAATTTTAACATAACGGATAAACATTCATATAAATCATAAGATATATTAATGACTACTTAAACTACTAATCAGTTTGTACCATTTGATATTAGTTAAAATCAATTTTTATATTCAGATTAAATATTCTCCATATTACTTACTAGTAGTAGTAGTAGTAATAATAATAATAATAGTGATAATAATAGAATAACAGATTAATTGTTTCGTATTATTATTTCCTCTTTTTCTAAAAATGAAAAAAAAATTTGCTTTCATTTTAAGAAATAATGAAGTTTCATAGAAATAAACAAACTAATATCAAAACAAATGTTTATTCATTATGAGTATTTTTTTCTCCATTTTAATTCAATTATCATAAACTTATTTATTTCAATGTACACAATGATATTGAAATATAGTTTACAAATATATAGCTATATATATATATATATATATATATATATATATATATATATATATATATATATATATATACAGAACGTAAATATTGACTCTTGACTGATAAATGTTGTTTTAAAAGTCAATATTTGTTATGTGCATATCTAATGTATTTCTAAACGTACAAATTCAAAGTTTCCTTGTTGTTGTTTTTTTCTATTTATCTTTTATTTATTTTAAATATTTCTAAAAATAATTTTCATCACAAGTTGATTTTTATTAAATAGAAACTTTATAAATTTATAATAACTGTATATACATGTTTTATTTTAACTGGAAACTACTCACCAGTATAAAAGTATCAGTAGTTTCTTTTTTGATATTTTATTACATGTCGTTAATACTGGTTCATAATATAGGTTACCAATTTGTGAAACACTATAAAGATAATGTATAATGGTACTTAATCTGTGAAACTATATACTTTTTCCATCTTCACAAGCAGTTGTTTTTTTTATCCAAACGTAGTATAACATATACTATATTTGATGAATTAAATAGATAGATACCATTAAAAATAGACTTTTTTTTATCCATAAAATATCTGAATAACTTTTTCTATTTTGTGGAATTTTAATACATTCAGTTGAATATCATCTTTTGAATAATTTGACAAATAGCTTATGAGTGAATGTACCTTTGTATCAATTAGCATAAAATAATCCATTATGAACAATTTAAGTACATAGAGAGTTCATTTGTCACTAAATATGTCACGTAAAACTATGAGAACCCAATATTCACTAATAATGTTTATATTAATCCTATATATATATATAATGATCTCTACTAGTGAAATTAATAATTTAATATTTCACACTTTGATATCAGCGATTTAATCTAGACAATCATCGCCTTCTTTGAAGTTTCTCTTTTCGACCATGATAAGATATTGAGTTAACTGTGTGTCGAATGCAGCAAGTTCCAATTATATCATGTGTGAACACTATTACTCAACATAAGTATTGACTAATTAAATGTTCATAAACAATTCAACACTATTGTTATTCTTGTAATTATTAAAAGTATTTTATTTTTTGATGAGGATTTTATGAATAATTTTTAATACTGTCATATAAAGAGCTTCTTATAGAAGGATGATGTTAAATCATTCAAGAAAACTAAAATAAATACAATCGAATGAACTACATTGACTGTTTACTAAAACCATGGTTTCTTCATAGATGCTTAAAAATAATAAAATTAGCCCTGATAGGAGTTTTTCTGTTAGTTACTAATGTTCTTAACAATATTAATTTGAACAAATCATGTAGTGTCAGACGATAAACAATATCTTAGTGATAAGTTATAGCTCTCTTAAATGAAACAGATAATTTATTGATTTACTACATCATATCAATATATCAAAGTATTAGTTGATTTGCGCCGACTATTAGTTCACCCGGTACACTAAAATTTATTTATTTGTCAGATATTCAAACTATTAGTACATTTTATTCTTAATTTTGATGTTATCTTAATCAGTGTTTTGTGATTAAATAATTCTTCATTTGTAGTTTTGCTTTCTTTATTGAATCATAACAGAACTTCTTCCGTTGTAATAAGTACTAAAGAGTAGATATTACTTAGTCATAACTAAAAACTTTACCAGTGGCATTAATCAACATTTTATTTATCAAGTTATAATATAAAGTAATAGTAATTATGTATTGTGTATTGAATTTTTATTTTAAAATCCTAATACATTATCTTAAAATATGAATACTGTACATTAAATACTGTGATTGCCAATTTTCCATCAATTATCTCTTACAAACTTCATTGTTTCTCCATTTCTGTTGTTATCATAAAAACTCCCTGTTTACATCCCTAATCTGTTCAATTCAAAACTCTGAAACTTCTGTTGCCACACATTTCACTTTTCATTGGTGTTACATACTAATTATATCTGTCAACATAAGTAGCATATACCTTAATTTGAGTTCTTTGATTTTTTTAATTTAAAATTTGAAGAAGGAATAATCACGCGGTATTTATTATTCTATTTATATACAGGTGTAAGCTATTATTTATTTTTAATACTTCGTCCAATTAAAACTTTTGAACAGTTTCAATAACAAATCCACTATTCAATAGATTTATCTCAAATTTAACAGGAATTATGACCGTTGTTTACTATGTTTTTTTTTCAATAAAATATTTAACTTTGATCACTGTACGAGTAATAAATGACGTTAGTGTTTATTAGCAAACAGTTCAAAAAATACATCGATGTGTATCTTGGTATTTAACTACAAAGAAGTACATCAGTATATAACTGACTTTTATTGATCATAAACCATTAACTGTTTATTGACATGATCAGGTTAGAATTAGACTTAATAGTTAGAAATTAATTCCACTGGAGAGTGAGTAGTCTGTGATTGCTTTATCTTTCAGTTGTTGACTTATTAAATTATTTCTAATCATATCTACTTATATATTTAAAAAATCACTGAATCTTTACCTAGATCGTATGTTCTAGCTTGATAATCCATTTTTTATGAAATAAATATTTTGCATTGTATATCATTAGTGAACTGTTTCCAATGTTCTTTAGTAAACTTTTTAAAACAAAACAACATTTCAAATTCACTTGGTGTTGTTTAACTCGTATCTTCCTATTGCTATTTAGGACTGCAGTTGATCAGTCCCATTTTCGTATATGTGCATCCTGTGCGGACCGCCTCGATACAGCCTTAAATCACAAGTTTTTTATGCAAAGATGGATAGTGGCTAGAAGTGGAATTCAGGATGTGCGTTTCGTCTTATTTCTAACTCGTCAGATGGATGTACTGTGCATCCCAGAGTTGATGTTTACTCCGGGACGTGATGGCGTTTCAGGCGAACGGTACTGGGTTAGAGTCCTAGAGTGAATATCAACTCTGAGCTGCAGGTACATCCAGCGGACGAGTCCCGAATGGGACGAAACGCGCGTCCTGCATTCCACTCCTAACCACTAATCATTTTTGCTCAAAATAACATTTATTTAATAAATGAAAATAGTATCTTACAAATTGATCATTATTTATAGTAATAAACAAAATCAATTAATTAAACGTGAAACATTCCAGAAAATTAATGACTGATTTTGTTAAAAACTTATTGAAACTACTTTTATTTTCATATCACATCGTATTCTCATTGTGAATGTCAATACAACACATAAAAACTAACAATCTTATTTGTAACCAGAAACGTCATCAAGCTTTATTCGAATATATTTAAATATTTATATATAAATATATTAAACTGCATAGTTATGTAATCTATTTCATTATGATCATTGATTCATCAATTGCCTTAATTGGTTTAATATTTTCATACGTCTTTCTCATGTGAACAAACTATACAATCAAGCAACAATCATGAATTTCCTCTTATGTTTTAGGGGGTGTATAATTTGTCTTATTTTTTTTTCTTCTTAAAATTCAATTTTCAATTCATTATACTGATTGAACTCAATGTATACCAGTAACAAAAATATATTATAAAACTTGTATTATGAAACAAGCTATTATTTACTGAAGTAATATCTGTCAAAATGTTCACGCTGAAGATAGCTGAATGTTATTTCAATAATTTCTAACAAATGTTTTCATATAATTATTGTCAGTATTAACATGATTCATATTTTTAAAGAAGAGATTGTTTTGTTACAGTAATAATTATTTCAAAGATGACGGATATGATTATAGTATTAAATAACATCTGTCAATCATCATGGCAACATATTACAAAGTGATTGGGTTGCTTTGTTTAATGACTACTGAAAAGTACCAGACTCAGGTTAAGTTGAAATCTAACTTTCATGTTTGAGTTGGCAATCTCATCTATCGACATGATACTATATCAGTACTGTCTGGCCCACTCACATTTTCCGTTGTTTACATTCACCTCCATAGTGGAATTTTTGTCAAATTATACACTGAAAACATACTGATTTTAACAGAAGACATTAAAAGAAAGAAATAAGACCAGGTTACAAGTGATAATATCAGAACATCAACTTATTTTGAATTTTTGATTGAGATCATGAACCGATTGATGTTAGACCACCACAATTGAAAACCTGGAAGCACTGGACGGCCGTTTCGTCCCATTGTGGGACTCCTCAGCAGTGCGCATCCACGATGCCGCGAGCGGGATTCGAACCCAGGGCCTTCGGTCTCGGGCGCGCGAACGCTTAACCAACTGGACCACTGAGCGGCATCCAATGGTATCTACCTCAGTACAACGGAAGTTGTTTCGCGCAATTTCGTGGATTGGTTGATGTTAGAAATTATCACCATTGGATGCCGGCTCAGTGGTCCAGTTGGTTAAGCGTTCGCGCGCGAGACCGAAGGCCCTGGGTTCGAATCCCGCTCGCGGGCATCGTGGATGCGCACTGCTGAGGAGTCCCACAATAGGACGAAACGGCCGTCCAGTGCTTCCAGGTTTTCAATTGTGGTGGTCTAACATCAATCGGTTCATGATCTCAATCAAAAACTTAATAATCTCCACAACCCCTATACTAGTTATTTTGAATTGTCACAAAATGTTTTCCTAACAGACGTGATTATAACTTTCAGTGTGGTATTTCTGTTAAATATTTCTGAATAGACTTGAACACAATGGATTTACCAACATGTTAAAGTACTAATTCTATCGATATGATAATTACCACGTGAGCCACGTTTAATCATGTTTGTAAAAACATATAATGAAAACTGATATTAGTAAAATTTATGATATTTATCTCTTTCATTGCTGCTCAAGCAACGCATGTACGTAGTAATTGACCACTATATGACCATACAATAGTCATATTATTTTATTTTAAGAAAATATTTTTCGTTGCTTATAATATGTACTGTTTTCCTAGCAAACTTTACAAATATACTAGGAACAAAATACCACTAAGAGTGAGATATAACAATAAATTTAGCAAGCAAGGTTGTTTAATTTAGCTTGTTATCTACCCTGAATTAATAATAATTATTGTTATCATTGTTTTAAAACCATTATATTCTAGACGTAAATTGATGCTGCCACGTTTTACGTCGATTTTCAACATGTTGTCATCGGAGAAGACGTTATACGGACAGAGATCGAACTAAACTATCATCATCCAATGTTGGACAAAACTCATTCCTCCAATCCACATCCTGATCATAATTCATCGAAATACCCTTTGGTATCGGTCAATAAAGCCAACAGTGAAGAAATTGTAAGTGCAAGTTGAATTGATAAAAGAAAACTAAGAAATTTTCACGACTGACATTTCGTGGTTTTCATCTTTATTTCATTAAAATAATAATTATTATAGAATAGATTAGAGTAAGTAGTAAAACATTTAGATAAACTAATAAACATAATTGTTTCTTATGTCAAATGATTTTCAAGAGAAATCTGTTATCAGAATGAGGATTTATGGAGATAGTCGTAATTTTAACAGTTGAATCATTGAGTCGATCTAAGCTAGACCATCATTGAAAGCCTGAAAGCACTTAACAGCCGTTTCGTGCCAATGTGAGACTTTTCAGCAGTATGCGTCCACGGTACTGCACACGGGACTTCACTCCAGAGCCTTCGGTATTGCGCGCGAGCGCTTAACTCCTGGATTACTGAACCGGCATCCAACAGTGTTAATGTCTAACTTCAATCGATCCATGATCTTTCTCAATCCTTGGTCGCTTTCTGAGATGGATAGCTGTTTACACTCGGATGAAGGGTTGTGCTAGACCATGGATCGATTGAATTTAGATATAACACAGTTGGATGCCGGCCCAGTGGTCGTGACATCAAACGTTCTAAGTTTGATTCCCACGTGTGGGATCGTGTATACTCACATCTGTGAAATTTGTTAGTTTATAAATTCTGTTCGTAAAAAATTTTGTCATGGTTAAAACATTTAGTCTAATAGTTCCTGATGATTAATTATAAATTTATAAGATTGATTTAATCTTTAATCCAATATGTACTACTAAGACCAACTAGTGAAAAAACATGTCTCACTTTTTCTTTAATCAATTACTTCTGCTCCTAACAATCCAGTCGTTTGTGGTAATTCTTTCATTTGCTTTACTAGTTTGAGATGTTGAAATATTGGATTGGTTTATATTAATGACTGGTTTTTATGTTGTCAAGGTCTGACAGGTTGTTAACCGTACATATCTGCCTGCTGATTTTCAGTGGTTTTGTTCGTAAGCTATCACCTTATTTTTTGTCAAATCAAATTGTGAATTGCCATAATACGTTAATTTCTGACTCATCCTTGAAAATGTTTCCAGAATCAAGAAGTATCTCATGTCTTTTAAGTTTCACACAATTCTAAAATTTGTAATCATGTTTTATCCAAACTCTAACTGGATAATGGTTAACTAAATGATGATAGAATGACAGTTTGAAGGTAAGGATAAACTACACTCTCGTTCGTCATTTTGATCTTGTATCTGGCTAACAATCAATATGAAGCAACAATTATTATGTAAATCATCGTTATTCATTATGGTAGGTGTATTTCAGTCTCTATCATTTTTGCTGGCTTACATGAAAAATGTAAAGTTGTCTTCAATGAAACTACCACATCATAATGCTACGGACGTGTCAACTGTAGGTCAGTTTGTCATTGTTGTAACGGGTGAGACTGCAGATTTTGATAGCAGCGTATTATCGATTGGATCAATGACACGTAAAACACGAACGAACGACCTAGAGTCTCGATTGACTCTGCTTCGCTGTCTATCCCAGTCAGTTGAGTCCAGAACACAAGTCTCAGCCTCTGAGTTATGAATCATTATATTTTCAGACGTACTCTGTTTATATACCAACCAAACAAACCACATCGTACCATAAAATGGAAAAACATTTGTACAATATTTAACAAGTGAAATAAATACTGACCAATAGGGAGCGTACATTTAAAGTTCAAGGCCACTATTATACTTAACATGATAATTATTGGTATATTTTTCTGCACATCCTAACAGTCATGGTGCAAAAAAAGTACGACATAGCAAAAACCACACTTCCACTAGAAATTATTTCAAAATATCTAAAATTGAGTGACTAAATAAACAAAAGCAGGATTATAATTACTGACTACGATTCACTTAGATAACTTGATAACGTAAAGTTTATCCTTAGCCCAGTTTGATTTAATTTGATAGAACATTGAATAACTGTTTCCCCTAATAGCACATAGATCTATCTAATTTATGAAGTAGTTGGTTCTATACATTAATTCTAGAAATTGTGATCTTGGTGTGTGACAGTCTAATTTTTGAACGTTACAATTTGATGGTCTATTTTAACCTATGATAACGATCTTAATGAATATTTATAAATTTCATAATTATTCCTGATTGTCTCTATACATATGGATTTCACAAAATATATGCAATAAATAAACGAATCAATCAGTTTAATGTTTTGAAATACACTTTAGTTTATTAACTATAGCAATTCAATGCTAAGTACATTTTTTGTCATTTGACTGAATCAAACTATGCATACTGAAAGTAATGTAAATAGAAATGTTAACGATGAATCCGGGTAATGATTAATTATAGCTGAATTTATAACAGTTTTACTCTATACAATAAAGATGTTTTTTAGTTTTCTGTTATTTTAAAATTAATAATGTTATTTATGATACATTTATGATCCCTGAAACACCGATAATGCGTACTTGCATAACTTACTTTCTCTAATGATGTTAACTCGGATCAATCATTAAAAATATGTTATATGTCTAAAAAAAATGTTAAAAAATGGGGTCATATTTCTAAAGTCAGTAAAATATGTATAAAGAACTTAAAATTTCAACTTTGTTAATAAATATGTATCATATTTCCATAAATCAAGTTCAACATACATCTTATGATTAGTACATAAGGTCAGTGAAAACTGTTTGTTTATTGTAGATTACATCACAGACCGACTACAGGTAAGTAATCGCTGAAAATCAACATTTCTCATTCACAACTTCACAAGAGATCCGACCTGAAACTTTTAGACTTTTCACAGAACGCAAAGCCTTCAAATCATTGAGATGACATCTATTAGTTTACATTTTTTAAAACAGGCAATTTTATAAATAGAGCAATCACCATTTAATTCTGACGGCGATACCCATATTATGCCCAACATAGTTGATATTCACTGGCCCATTATCAACTAATTTCGGTGTGACTATAATTTATGGATAACTGAGACGAATTTCACTTCGAAACCCAAGAATTGCTATCCCTAATTTGATTTGTTCGTTCATAAATTATAGTTTCATCGAATTCTCACTCAAAATAAAACATACATGCACACGGCAACACTTACTGTATTTCTCACTTCATCGATAAATTCAGTAATTAATTTGTTTTTCAAGTTATACTACTATATTTCTTCATAACAAAATAACGGAATAAACATTTATATTAGTTACAGTAAGACATAAAATACACAAACCATTTGTTTTCAAATCAATCATATGAGTTTTATTTTTCTTAATAATGATAAAATCTATATTACATAATTTCTTTTACTAATTTCTTTCCTTACACATTTGTGGTCAGTAATGTTATGTTATTGTTATCATTATTAGTTGTCCTTATTACATATAATGTTACTATGTTATTAACATCTGTTATTTTCTCTCATGCATAGATTCATTGACGAAATTCTATTTTTCTATGAAATATTAATAAGTCAATTTAGGTAAAAAAAAATGACCAGTTCCAATATCTCTTGTGTTACACTCGATCTATTCTTCTTTTGTTAAAAACAAAACGTTTAAGATTATTTATTTGTTATTGTTTAAAGTAGAAAATAGATATATTACCAATACTTAAAACTACAGGTAGTTTTCTAATGCATTTTAGAACGTTTAATGTTATCGTAATCATAAATAGACTTACCAAATCTATTAATCGTTTGAAAGGGTTTTATACAGATTAGTTAGATTTGTAGACAATGCTTGTTAAAGACTAATCTCATTTGGAGAGTTGAGAATCAAAGTGACATCAATTATATTGAATAATCGTTATAAAAATTAATTGGAGTATTGTATCATCTGATGCAGACTTAGTAATTTTAATAGCTAAGCGTTTACCGTAAGACCTGAAGGTTCTGGGTTCGATTCTTATTAGAGCCATGGATAGATTTTCTGAGTAATCATTTACTAGGACTAAGCATATGTTGATTATTCCCTAGTTTCTAACGGTACATTGCATCAGGTTGATCTCTTGTTTTATTGTGAAGTGATTCCGCATGAAATTAAACTCAGGACTTCAATTATAGTTCAGTCAAAGTTATGGATAATCGAACACAATTTCCTTATTCTTAACTTCTCAAACTACATCAATTGTAATATTTTCACCAATTGCTTAAGAATCCATCTCCAATCTAGTCTCTAGGGAGTATAAGGTTAGTACCATAGTCAATATAGTATTAAGGACGAAGTTGTAAGCCATTTTTAATGAGAAATTTAACCAGACACTATAAATATATAAATAATGGTATCGCGATAATTAAAGCATTCTAAAAGTGTGTAACTTATACTACGTTTTAATTAAAGATAGAACGCAAACATTAACTATATATGTATGGCTGTTTTTATTAGAGTTGAATTATTGATAAGTTATGAAAGTTCATCAAAATAAATTACTTAAATCGAATTAGATTTAAACATACCACTTAGTAATCATTATTCTAGGTAACCAAGATGTGTATTTTTTTCGCACTTATCATTTTCATTATAAATGAAATTAATTATTTACACTTATAAAGTTTTGATGTTTACGGTTTATTATACTTATTAGTTCTTTGTTATGTTTTCAATGATAAAGTATTCAGTACACATTAAGGTTTTTATCATGAAGTGTACCTGAAAATAAGATTTAAAAAGAAAACGTTTGATCGTTACCTGGATTTAATAACAAATAAAATACCATGAGCATTACCTTGAACATTCGAATTATCTAGCAAAATAATTTACTATAAAGATATTTTATTCTAAAGCATTCACTAAATCATATTCAACACATTTTGTGACTCAACATAGATGGATGACAGAACTATATTTTTACTTATTGGCAACAATTGGAAAAATTCTCAAGAATTCATTGAATAAATTTAGGAAGTAATATGGTATACAAGGTGGTCTGCTTGAATATCTCAGCTACCTGTTCCTGCCATCTGGATATTTAAACAAGTTATCTATTTTCTTATTAC